TACCTAATATATATTATAGATTATTATAAGATTCGTGTCGCAAAATCCAATTAAAAATACTAAAACTTCTGTACATTGATCACTTCATATAAAGTGTAAATAAAGAACATTATTGAGTAAATAATATTATTATCATTCTGCAGTTGTGCAAGGCTCGTATGTGAGATTCACAGTCTCCAAATCGTCATTGTAAATTATAATCACAAAAGTTTATTTGATTTTTACGTGCCATTACCAAGGTAGGTACTTGTTTAATGCGATACCTATGTGAAGGCAAATTATCATGTAAATAATATGATACCGACACACGATAACGTACTAGACTGCAGCAGCGTAAATTTGAAATAAAATCATCATTTACATTAAAATTAAGTCAGTGGACGAAGGGTGGGATGATGTCGAGTTAGGTTCTTAATTTATTCCCTACTACATATTGTATATGCCACTGGATATATTTATAACATTTTATTAAAAAAAAAAAATCATTGGTATAGGTACTTATTGTATAATGCTGGCCGCCGTTCTCCGACGACTGTTAACAATTTATTACCTTGCCAAACAACTTTTGTACTTTTACAAAGTAGATTTGTAACGTTATATTTTATTATTTTTCTTCGGAATAAATAAAAATTGATAAATCCTGTGGTTATATTGGTATACGGTCTATGTGTACTCGTGTCTTGTGGTAATTAGATATACGAAGCAATTCGTGTTTAGATTTTAAAGTACCTATAGGTCCTAACTCCTAGGTAATAATTATTACAAATAATCGTAATTCTGCGGCCACTTGTAGCATACGTTTAAATAAGAATTAAGTATGTAAAATCATGCGTCATGTTTAGAAAATATAAAAAAGTTAGAGGAAATTATAGTGTGTTATTTAATATTTTAATTATTATAACAGTTAGGTAATCATGATAATGATATTGTGTTAAAGTCAAGAATACAAGCGAGCTGTTTGTCATGGTCATAATAATTTTTTAATGTTAAAGATCAGTGACTACGATGAGTGATGACCGCCGACCGGGCCACTATGCACTCATATCTTCGTATAATATATTATTATGGTCGTATTATATTAAAATAACGCAAATCACTACCTATATTATATTATATATTTATATTAATATAGTATTTTAGTAAACACGTTTCACGTTAATGGAGGTACTTAAAAATATTATTACTTCAGTTGAGGAAAACAATTTGTCACCACTGCCGTGGTAGTGTTGTAATTTGGTCATGATGAAGTGTTTGTACATTTTCCCTATAGTAACCCTCAGTTCGATTGTTTTATGAATCATATAAACATCTCTAAATATAACCATTATGATATTATGTACAGTAATATAATATGATATAATTAGGTGCCTATACTTGTACAGAGCAAGTGCCTTAGGGTGGTAAAATTGTAACATATTAAAGTTCGGCAAATGTTTGATTAAATGTACCTAGGGGTGAAAAATATTATTGACCTTGAGCGCAAAATTAAAGTTAACACGGCACCGTCAGTGTATAAATGTATGCACAAACCGAAACGAATAATTACTTAGTATTTAAATATTGACATAAAATAAATTGTGAATTGATACGACGTTGCTGATGTGCATCTTCACTCTGCGATAAAATAATATTCGATCGATCAGATTTTCGTACCTAAATCTCAATACAATATAGGTAATATATTTTTTCTATAGTGTTTATTACGTAACAATAATATTATCTTATACAGTTATGTTGATACAGGTAGCAAAAGGGATCCAGATTTTTTTGTACTATTCCTATAAAATATATTCTATATTATTATAGAGGTGTTCGAAAAGTACAAAAATGTGTTGTAACAGATGTCAGTCCATATAAATAAATTATGCTACTAGAAATTATGCATGCTACTAGAAATTGATCCTCTGCAAGGAAAATTAAAGAATCATCGATATATGTTTATGGATATAGCGTGCAGTGGAAAAATATCGAATAGCATGCTACATTTTGTTAGGAATTTAAATTAATTTTTTGTTTTTATTTTCGATTTGCTTTTGTGAAGAAATAAACAAAGGGTTACGAAAAATGGCCTCACTAAAATCGGATGGAAAAAAATTGTACCAAGCCCGAAAACATCTATGTTAAAAAGTTTTTTTCGGGGGGAGGGGGGGCAGATACGATACACAAATCTCCTCCTCCATTACCATAATTACGCCACTATGCCATAGGACCACCATACCGTACCTAAGCTTTTATCAACAATTCGACCGTATAATAATATATATTACTAACAATTTATATTATTTTTATAATATTGCTCTGGGCACGAACCGTAAAATAATCAATCGAATCGATTGCCAAGAATTTATATCGAATTATAATTATTATATATTTTCTATTGTCGCGTTTGCTGGCGATGCTGTTAAATCGTAATAGTATTATTATTTTTTCTTATTTCGATTATTCGTCGACAATAGAATTATAGCACTGCCCGTGAGCCAGCACATGGCAGGCGACATTGTTTTTTTTTTTTCGACCGGAGGTACATTATATTCAACAGGTATCTATATCGCGGTAGTGCGGTACACTTAAACATTTTTTATTGTACCGAAATAATAAGTAAAATGACCGATTCGCGCCGTTAGTCATCGTATAGGTCTAAATAATATAACACTCACAGTCTACACTATTATTATTATTATATTATAGCCTAAACCAACCTAGCCCACTCGCCGCTATAAGGCACGGCAGCCTCTAAAATAAATCGTGTAAATGCGAGTCCCTATGGAGCTGCCGGTGAGTTACCTTGGGCTTGAAATATTATATTGTGGAAACTCGACGTGGTCGGTTCATCGCGGTTCAAACGGCTCTATATATTATGATATTATTCAGGCGTACTATTCTATAATAATAATACTAATCCTAAATAATAACAGGTGGTACGATATTATTATATTATTAACAGCGGCGCTCACCGTTCGTGATAAGTGTACTTATGTCCTCAGGCTACGGTTAGGTACCTATATTATAATATGTGTAATGTCGTAATTATTTATATTATTATTATTGTAGTTATATAATGCCAAATTGAGTGTCGGCGTATAGAGCTGGCGAATACGGGTGAGGGGAGCAGCTATAGTCTGGAAGAACGGCTCTTTAATGCTGGCTGTGTATCCGACACTACACTACACAACTCGAGTCAAATAACGTGCAAATCATTTAATATTTCAGCCCCGAGCTGCACCGAGTACCTATTTATATACCATACACAGTGTGTTCGATAACAAAGAACTCCGTCCGCAAGTCCACGAACCTCCTTTCACCCCGCCCAAACAATTTACCCTGTGATGATTTTTTAAGCATACTCACCCCCAATTTTCCCTTTAACATAGTAAGTACATAATATTTTATTCAAATTCTGATTTTTCGAATTTTTAAGCACCTATATACTAGAAGACTATAATATTTTCAAATTTCTGATATTTTTTGTGTACTACTTAGGAGGAAGTGTCTTGATGATAGAATCCCCCTCCCTTTTATTGCAAGTTATTTAACGATGATTTTCTCGAAAATGTGATGTTTTTAAATCAAAATTCTTAAGAGTAGTTTCTGGGTTATTAAAATGCTTATACTATTATAAACCTTAAAAATTGTTTAGTATAAATATAAGCTAAATGTGGCATTAGATGTACTATTTATTATACTTGGAACATTTTTACATATTATTTATATAAATACATTAAACATCAATAGTAATTACTAACTTTTAAAAATCATCTAAGCCTCCATACTTATACTTAACCCATAGAGTATTATCTTTAATACACATTGTGTATTACACAACGCTATATATAACTCAAAAATTACTCTCTTGAATTTTGATTTAGATACATAAAAATTATCAAAAGTAATATCTGATTAATTATAAAAACGAAAAAGGTGGTTCCTATTTGAAAAACAGAAATTTGTATTTTCACAGGATCATCCAATAGTGGTACAATAAAGGATTCGAAAATATGGTCTTCCAGGGTATTTAAAAATGTCAAAAATCAGATTAAATTAGAATATAGTTATGCATAATATAAGTACATATAAAAGTATTGTGAGCACTGACCATGCTTAAAAAACCAACATGTAGAAGTCACGTTCATCGTATATCCCTCATGTTTTAATATCATGTACTCCAAACTCGGTCGTGTAAGTGCGGTAAATTTAGCAAGTGCTGCACATAACACGATTTATTATATTATATTATAACCTAACCCAACCCAAGCCACCCGAGACGTGTGTGTGCGTGTGTGGTGTAGAGAGGTTGCCGGACGGGGAGGAAAATAATATCGTCATAAATACGATCTATAGACAAGTCGCCATTATATAATATTATTATTATTATTGTTAATTTAACTTCGCTCGGTGGTACGAACGGATAATATTTATTTATCCTCGCGTACCTATACGGTCACAATAATCGTTTATTTTCCACCGCAGCGTAACCGGTCGAATGGCTGCCGAGCACGGGGGACCGGTTTCCCGGACAAACAGAGTCAGACCGCGACGGATAAAGAAGCAGGAGTCGGTGGCCGGTAACCCCTTCCGTGGGGGGGTCTCGCTGGGGGGGCATCGCCTCGCTCGTTGTACCCTCTCTCTCTCTCAACCCCCCCGGCACACCGTCTGCCACACTGTCGTATATCCGTTGTTTCCCGCATAGGTATTCACTTTATTTTTTTCTTATTCCCTTCCTTTTAGTCGGCGCCCGTTGTTATATCATTATTATATTCCCATTATTATTATTCTTGTTCGCCGACCGCGTCTTCAACTTTTTTTCCACCATTTTCCACCGCCTGCTCCTCCCGCACCGGCATACGCCACTGTGGCTATTTAAGATCAAACCGTTCGGCACTCGGACACAATTGGACCTCAGCGACTTGAATGAGACGCTTCTAGTTTGTACTTTCGAGAACCGCCGCCGTCCGTCTTAAGTCCGTATTATCCGTCAGATTGTTATATTTACTATTATCACCATGAAGGTAAGATTTTTGCACACGCCACTAAATCATAATAATATATTGTATTATAAATATTCACATATGTCAAAGACTTTATGCTTACCCGCTGAGCAGCGAACGTTCGATTTTAAATAACATGAGCAATAAATTGTTTTCAAAATATTAACCGAAACAATATTACAGTTAACAGGTAGATAATATCTTTAACCCGTCCAGTTTGTCATACATGGCACCCGTTAGGTTTAAAAGAAATAGTGGTCCGAAAACTATATTATAGATGTTAATAAATCGGATTATCGTGTTTTATTTAAATCGTAACTGTTGCGAGTGCCCTGCAGATGAACCAGACTAGTTTTACTTTGTAGAAACGGTGTACGATTTGTATAATTCTATAACTCGAACAAATAAAAAGTAATGATTCGAAAACCAAGTAACGCGTGTTATAATAATAATATATATAAGTTTGGTATGTAGAATCAAATTTTAATTTTGCTCTTCCGTATGATATTTTGAAAAAGAATTTAACACACTATCCAATTGTTTACTTATTGTTGTTTAACCTTTCGATTGCGTATTTGACTAATACGATTTAAACTGGTGTTTAAGTACACCCAAACGGATAGTTTGATTTCGTCGATCGATTGACCAATCGGGTGTTCTGCTCTGCAGGTGTCCTACGCAGTCGCCCTCCTGTTGGCCGTCGTGGCAGCCGCTTCGTCGACGGAAGTCCAAAAGTCCACCGCCGCCGCCCCGTCACCGGTACAGTCGCCGACGGCTTACCCAGGACCAGGAGGCGTACCGTATCCGGCACAGAGCTACCAGTACACGTCCGAGTACGCCGGACCGATGGCCAAGTCATCGTTCGGACCAAAGGCCGCTGTCCCGTCGTCTGCTTTCGGTAAGTCACACACAGACGTCGCAAAAATTTAGTTATCATCCATACAACGTGCAAACCGCTGCAACTTCACAGACTATCACCTCCGATATTTGACACTTTTTTGGGGACATTCGATAACATGTAGTGCGAATTGGCTCTAAATAGTAGGCTATTCAAATGATCGCCGAAAAGCTGCAGTTATATATTTATTTACTATAACTTTTGGAAATAACCAACGACGATGCCTTTGAATTCTGATCTCGGGGGGGGGGGTGTCGATGTCACTCCACTCAGGATAAAATATGATATCACGCCCTACTCGTCCCTTCCTCATCCGCACCCTATGGCGGTGATAAAAGCAATATCATACTCTCCGCAATATCACTACCTATGTAGGTATTCCGTAATAATCGCGAACAAACGCCTCTTTACGTTTTCAGCCGCCTACCAACCGTACCAGCAACACCAGCAGTACAACTTCGGACCTCAACAACAGTACTACCCGGGTTCCGGATACCCCGCAGCAGCCGGACAGTACCCATCCCCGTACTCTGGACATCCGTCGACCGGCGCCGCCTACCCGACCCCGTACTCGGCTTACCCGTACTCGGCCCAACCGTACTCTGCTCAACCGTACTCTGCCCAACCGTACAACGGCGGCTCTTACTCGTCATATCCAGCCGCCTTCCCGTCGTACTACGGTAGTCAATTCGGCGTGCCGTCAGCCGCCGGTCCATACAACAGTCACTACTCCGCTGCCGCCGCCGCTCCGTACAACGTCCACTACTCGGGTGCCGCAGCCCCGACCGTCACCCCGTACTCGGCCCTGCCGTCCGCTTACCCACAACAACCGCTGCAGCACTCGTCGTCGTTCTACAACAGCGGCGCCGCCGGCCAACAGTACGGCCCGTCCCAACAGTACCCGTCACAGCAGTACCAGTCGTTCTACGCCAACTCTCCGGCCGCCGCCTCAGCCGCATCCGATTCGGTCAATAAGGCCGAAAAGAAATAAACGAACGATTGATCATCACGGATATCCCGCCGCCGGAATTTTGACTTATTATTTAGCTACTTAGGATAATAATATTTGCGCGTATTTTTATTATTTGTATTATTATTTATTTTTGCAACATTTATAATAATTGCCATATAGTATAATATGTAATATAATAAAATCGCAATATATTTAACGTAATTTATTATATTTTAATACCGTTTTATATTTATCATTATTATATAACGTATGCGTCATACCAGTTTCCTAAAATCCAACTACAGCAGAAACCGTTTATAACGACATTCGAGGGAGACTAGTACAAATTATGCATAATAACCGGTGCAGATTGTCATTATGACCAAAATGATAAAATACGATTTAAAAACTTGATTATATTATATATTTATATCGACATAATATTATTGTATTGCAATGTGTCATATTTTAATCACTAAATAGTAAATCGTGACTTACATACGGAAAAAGAAGTTGTTTTATTGATTTAAAATAAAATTTACATTGCATTAACATGTACTGATATCTTAATTTGTATTTTGTTAGTATATAAAAATCATACGGTATTTTTGTCCATTTCTTAAAAATTTGTTTCAGTATTTAGTATTATCGGTTGTTATAATATATCACCTTCGATAAAAGTTTAATACATTATAGATAAAAGATTTTTCCAAAAAATAACAGTCCTACCAACCGTATATAATATATATAGACATTATACGGAAGTCATAATAGTCGATAGAAATTAGTACACATCTACAATATAGGAGTTTTTTCGGGATCTATTCAATCTAAGGCCATTACACCCGACACTTCGACCGGTGTCATAACAACGGTCTTCTATACCTATAATATAGTGTCTATACCTGTATATACTGCGTTTTATTGAATGTCGAACTGAAATATATTTTCAAGCACGTCTATTTAACACAATCACTTTAATAGATAATATAGTTAGGTACGCACATCGCACATCATATTATTATAGTATTATACACCTATTATATTTTGGTCGATGAACATTTTAACGAATTCGAGAATCGAGTATTCTAATTGCGTGTTTATTGCATACAGAATATGTATACAAACAAGTCATACCTGGTAACTGTTAAGTACCTATATAATAATGTACCAACACCGTGTAGCGTAGATCTGATGCGATATATTATAATGTTGTCAAACGAAAACGTATATATATCGTATATAACGTATATATAAAACCTATATCTTATTACCTCTCTGTATGACATGATTTGCGTACGTTAAATTCAAGAAGGAAAAATTATAGGTACTGAAACATAATAAATTTAATCAAAATATACGATCTCCTTGATGTCCGCCATATGTTTGAAGTTAAAGCTTGTCACATTTATATTATGTACCTATAATAATATATAATCGTGATCGAGGCACAAAGTTTTTTAAAACTGATTTTAACGAGAAGACGTTTTTTAAACTCAAACGGATTATTCAGTGAGTTACGTTTGTAGTTCCGAAGTTATGTCGATAACGACTGCAAAGATAATTACCTTATATCGGTTTATTATAGAAAGACGGATACTTACCGGTCCATAATATAGTTGCACATAATATAGAAATTAAAACAAAAATATAATATTACTAAATTACATAACTTTGCAGCAATTGGTGTGACAGCAGACAGGGTGATGCCACTTATGATATGGTACCTATAATATTATGTACCTAAGTATTCTTATGTGTTAAGAGAACTATATTATTGTCTATCCGGGTATCGGGGATATCGGATTATTTTTTTTTTTATAAAAATACGTGGCAAATTTGATTTAAGCTAACATAGTGCAAAACTTAAATCCTATGTTGGCTGCAATAAAGTTCAACTAAATACATAAATAGTCGGAGAGTCCAATAGTCCTACCTATACCTACCTATATAGTGTTACAGAATTGTTTGATGTAATTTCCCCGTTTTATGATTACTCATGGGTTCGTGTTTTAAGTCAAATGTATTTTTATTATTTGACATAAAAGTAATTTTTGTATAAAATGGGTTTCATATAATTTCGTACATTAGCCTATTGGTAATCATTTTTTTGACTTTTCTTCTTTTTCTTCTATTTTTTTAATATCGATTAGAGTTTGCTTATATATAACACATTGTTGATGTTAAGATTACCTTTCATTGGTAACCTTTGTGTTGTTTATGGGTAGTTTGTACTTCAGTTCGAGTTCGTCGTGTAGTAGTTTTATCGCTTAAGCGCAAACTAATTAGTTCTTATTTTCAACGAAATTCTATTATTCTAATTTTCAATATTCTAAAAGTTAATACAGAGGCAGTTTTGAAGTTAAAATAATAATATATAGTAGAATATTGTTTCGAAGACAGTTACTCTAAATATATTATGGTTGTGATTTTTTTGGGGGAAACCTTATTACATTTTTTACTAAATTTTATAGTTGCTTTTTTATTATTTATATTGCCTTCAAATCTGAACTCTACAACTCTAGGTAAACTCGATTGACCTGATATCGGGATCCAAAATGTAATTAGTCCAATGTATTATTATTTGAAATATGTAATGTGTTAATAACAATTTAATACACAGGACATTATAATATAATATTATAATCTATATAATTTATTGATTAAAACCTATAAAAATGTAAAAAAATTGAATACAAAAAAAATGTATAAGGTACACCAGAATTTACAATCATCCGCGGTTACACGGTTAACATTGTAAGACAAATACAGCGATACTCTGGATACTCGATTGTTTTGTCACTTTACAATTAAAATCAAAATCAAACCGATACCATCTTAGACCATCTACCCAAGCATGGTAACAGCTATCATCTAGGATACCCAATACGCATTATATTCATTAATTTGGTTTTTTATACAAACTTAAACAGAATTACAGAAAACAAAAACGTAAGTCTCAATCAAACCATCTTTTCATATATTTTATAATACATATAGGTACCTATTAAACTGTTCATATTTTATACAATTCCCTCAATGATAATATTTTAATGATAATTTGTAGCATTGTTATTGTAATTTACCGTTTTGACTCCTTCACCTTTTCCAAACTCCATATGGACAAAAAAATAATAATGAAGCCGCGAGCAAAAACATTAGTGAAAAAAAAATGAAATGCCAATTGCCAATTGCCGAATACATTGCAGACCCGACGTCGACGTCGGCGGTGGCGGCGAGTCATCGATCCGTCGGAGGTCTTCGACCCTCCGCCGCCGCCGGCATCTCATCGCGGCTATGCTTGTATAATAATATACATTATAGGTATACGTTTATATAATATATATATACCTGTATCGTGTTTAACATTGTATATAGATTATTACAAGAGAAGAAAATGTCGGTTATCGCATCGACTTCGAGATATACGCCCGCCGAGAAATCGATGTTTGCGGGCTTGTACCACCGCGGACGCAACAGAAACGGCGGACCATCGCTGTCACCGAACGAACCTTATGGCGATAATGTTATGCGTTTTGCCTGCTCAGAAGATTTACCTCCGGAGAGAGAGAAAACAAATATGTATATTCGATAATATCGACCTCCGTTTCAAGCACAAATAATATTAAACTGATATAATATTGCCAGCTATCCTACCTAGCCTTGTCGTTACCTACGTGATTATGTTAGTTTAATGAAATAGGAAAAAAATGAACACTATGAGAACACGGAAACAATAGTGTGGTGGGGGAGGGGAGTAGGTAATACTGATCTGCTGTACAGTTCGTTAAGTGTCAAGTGTACCTCGTCATTGAGTAGGAAAGATATTGCAATGTACCTAGGTAGGTATGTTTTAAATTTGAATTCAGCAATAAAATTATTGCTCACAAAAAATTCTTTGATCATTTTTAAAAAAGTCTTAAGACTATGTCAGTCGTTGTATTACTAAGTATATAACATGATAATATGTTTTTTTGATATTACTATTAAAGTAATTTATTATACTATTATAATATAGTATTATTGTAGGTGGATTTAATTTAATTTTTTTTTAAATTTCAAAAAAAATTTTGTATAAATGAATTATATATACTAAAATACGCAATATTGTTGTAAGCGGTTCGTTTTTAGTAAAAAAAACATGTTTTATATGAAAAAAAAAGGAAAAACTTTCAAGCCCCGTAAAATAATCGTAATTCGTTAGTTTTTTTGTATATTTAAAAGAAGAGGACATTTTGCAAGTAGGATCAAAGCAAGATTTTCAAAATGATAATTATAAAAGCTAAAATATGCATTTAAATAATTCACTATATTTGTTACTTTTCAAACGTATAGTATTTAAAGTAAAATTAAAATACGACCTGAATATCTCATATTTTAGATTTAAAAAAAATTATCAAAATCCAACATAGGTATCGACGAGACGTGAGAGACTTTCCTGTGAAGTCATTTTTGACTAGATGTATTATAATAAGTAGATATAATACCTACTCCTCCTAAATAGGTATCGGGCAGTAGATTAGTGAAAAGTATTATAATTAAGGTAGAAACTGAATTTTTAAATATAATTTTCAAAGAGTATAGAATTGGATAAACCGTCATCCACACCCTTAATATTTAATTATTATAATAGTCTATATTTTTATAATTTATAATTGTTTTTCACTTTTGAGTCAATACCGTATTACCTTAACATAAATATAGTGTAAATTTCGTAGGTCGTATAAAAACGCAATAGCTTAACATTATTAATCTCAATATTTTGACCCAATATATTTTAAATATTTTTTAAATACTATTAGTCACAACTTATGAAAAACCTTAAATTGTTTACCGAGCAATAATATTTTTTTTTTCAAAATTTGAGAATAAAAAACTAAAACAAATTGATATGCCATTTCAAAAAATAGCTTAATGTAAAGTCGAGTCACAATAGTTAAAAGTTAAAGAAAAATACAGAAAATACATTACATACAAAAATTCGTCGTTAAATCATTATTTTTATTTTTTTTTTATTAGATAAAAATAGAGTATTTACA